CTGCGGAGGCTGGTGCTGAATCTGCCAGTCCCTGCGGAACTGCATCAGGGGCCTCCCCTGGCAGCCCCCGCTGCTGCGGGGACTTCGGCAGAGGCTCCTGCGCGGTTCCAGTCGCGCCTTGCTGCTCCATGCCCCGGGCCGCTCCCGTCGCGGAGGCGGGCGGGCGCGGCGGGGGGCAGACCTGCAACGGCTGCGGATTCACTTTATCGCAATGCCATCCCTCCCTGCGCTCAAATGACTTTTCCCCTTGCGCCAGTCTGCTGCTCCCACTTCTGAACTACCTCATCCCTTCTACCTCTCCCTGCACCCTCCTCTTCCTGTTCAATCCTCCCTCCTCCCTCCACCGTGCTCATTTCTCCTTGCTCCCTTCTCTGCTCCTCCTACGTGGGGCGTTTCACGACAGCGACGACGACGACGACGAGAACGATGACCACGACGGCGACAACGAGAACGACGACGACCACGACGGCGACGACGAGGACGATGACCACGACGGCGACCAGCGACGACGACTAGCGACGACGACGACCGACGACGACGACGCCGACCACGACGACGACGGCGACGACGATAACGAGCGACGACGACGACGAAAATCGACGCCGACGAGGAACGACGACGACGAACGAGGACGACGATTACGACGACGAGATGACGGAGGTTCGAAGATCGAACCTCGAAGTGCGAAGCTTCGAAATTCAAACTTCGATCTTCGAACTCCGAACTTCGAACTTCTAACTGCGAACTTCGCTGGGGCGCCAGGGACGCAATGGGATGGAGGGAAAAATGGGAAGGAAAGAGCGAGGAAGCGGGAGAGGAAGTTGGAGGAGAACGAACAGGCGTGGAGCGACGAGGAACGGGCGGCGAGGAGCAGACGTTGAGGGCGGCGGGATGGGGGGGCAGGGGGGGGGGAGGGAAGACTTCAGAACGAAGATCGCGCCACGGCGCCTGCGCGCGCGCCCCCGATCTCGGCGGCCGACGCGCGCGCCCCTGCCGAAATGCAGCGCGCCCTTCATTCGAGCCCCGCTGCTGCGGAGCCACCTACTCCACAACCAAATCGTCTGGGGAGCTATTCGGTCCCCAAACTACTGGTTATTCAGCCCCTCGGCTCTTGCGAGTCCGCCCTCATGACAAAGGCAACCTTCACATGGGGACACTCAATGGGGTGTTGATTGAGAACGCCCCATGTGGCCGGTGGCAGGAACGGACGAGGGGGGGCGGAGACGGAGGCGAGGCGCGAGGGGAGGGCAGGGCGAACGCAGAGGGAGAGGAGCAGGACGAGACCTGGCAGGGGCTATGCACCAGGAGAGAGATCTCATGGAGGAAGAGGAGGGGAGGGGACGAGAGGCACTCATAATCAAGCGCACGCAGGCCCTCGCACTTGCCCCATTTCTCAGCGACCGCCGCGCCGCCATGAGAACTGTCGTACCACCGCCACTACTGCGGCGGATGCGTGACCTCTCCCATCCCTGTCCTGTGCTGTTTCTGCTACCACCCTCCCCCCTTCCAGCCAAGCTCGGGTTTCAAGCTCGGAGACGGGCGCGGCTGGCGGCTCTTAGTGCGGGTGCGCGTGCTGCCTCCAACTCCTCATCCCCTCCTCCTCCTCTCCTCATCCTCCCTCCTCTTCCTCCTCATCCTCCTCTATCGGCCCAGCTCCGATCGCCGCTCAGCTCCCCTGGTGCGGCTGGCGGCAGAAGTACCGAATATTGCCTGGGATGTCCTTCGCCGTCTTCTTCGACATCTCAAGCATCATCTTGCCCTTCTCCTCGGCGCGGCGCGCCTCCTCCATCATCTGCCGCGCCTGGTCGACGAGCATCTGGCCCTTCTCTCCAACGGCGCGTGCATGGCGGCAACGATTGCGCCACTCGATGAACCGCGCCACCATGGTCGCCCAGCTCCAAACACTGCCATCCGTCGCGATGAGCTCGAAGTCATCGACGTCGCACTTGCCCGCGATGCTCGCCATAGCGGCGCAAGGCCGCGAAGGGGCCTCCTCTGGCAGTCCCCGCTGCCGCGGAGACTGCGGCAGAGGCCCCTGCGCGGTTCCGTCGCGGAGGCGGGCGGGCGCGGCGGGAGGCAGACCTGCAACGGCTGCGGCTTCACTTTATCGCATTGCCATCCCTCCCTGCACTCGCATGGCTTTTCCCATTGCGCCAGTCTGCTGCTCCCACTTCTGAACTACCTCATCCCTTCTACCTCCACCTGCGCCCTCCTCTTCCTGTTCAATCCTCCCTCCTCCCTCCACCGTGCTCATTTCTCCTTGCTCCCTTCTCTGCTCCTCCTACGTGGGGCGTTTCGACGACACGACGACGAGGACGATGACCACGACGGCGACAACGAGGACGACGACGACCACGACGACGACGACGAGGACGATGACCACGACGGCGACCAGCGACGACGACTAGCGACGACGACGACCGACGACGACGACGCCGACCACGACGACGACGGCGACGACGACAACGAGCGACGACGACGACGACAATCGACGCCGACGAGGAACGACGACGACGAACGAGGACGACGATTACGACGACGAGATGACGAAGGTTCGAAGATCGAACCTCGAAGTGCGAAGCTGCGAAATTCAAACTGCGACCTTCGAACTCCGAACTTCAAACTTCGAACTGCGAACTTCGATGGGGTGCCAGGGGCGCAATGGGATGGAGGGAAAAATGGGAAGGAGAGAGCGAGGAAGCGGGAGAGGAAGTTGGAGGAGAACGAACAGGCGTGGAGCGACGAGGAACGGGCGGCGAGGAGCCGACGTTGAGGGCGGCGGGATGGGGGGACAGGGAGGAGAGGGAAGACTTCAGAACGAAGATCGCGCCACGGCGCCTGCGCGCGCGCCCCCGATCTCGGCGGCCGACGCGCGCGCCCCTGCCGAAATGCAACGCGCCCTTCATTCGAGCCCCGCTGCTGCGGAGCCATCTACTCCGCAACCAAATCGTCTGGGGAGCTATTCGGTCCCCAAACTACTGGTTTGCCAGCCGCTGCTGCGGACGCCGAGGGCCCGGTGCTGGACGCCGCGGCCCCGCTGATACGGGGCCCCTGAGAAGGCGTCGGCCCCCCCTTCTCTCTGGCGGCGTCGAACTTGACCTTGCGCTCCACACCGAGGTCCTTGTGCCAGCGATAAGTTCCTGACCCGTCGCTCCCGCCCAAACCCGCGGCTGGCGGCCTCGCCGTGTCCGCGCGGGGGGCGAGGGGCAGAGCTTCGACCTTCCTGTCGCCCCAGTGCGGGTGTAAGCGGACGCCTGCCCCGTCGTCGCGGTGCAACGCGAAATCCCACATCGGCAACTTCACTTTCACCCGCTGCCCCGCGAACTGTCGCGCGCGCACAATACTCTGGCGCATGTGGTCGTAGCTGTTTGGCCGGACTTCGAGGGAACAGCCGATCAGAGCCCCGCTGCTGCGGGCCCCCCCCACGACCTCCCTGATATCTTCCTCCCTGAGCGTCGCCACCATCTCTTGCCACCGCCAAGGGACTTCCTCGTCGCTTCTGAAACCAAAGCTCGTTCTCGCGCCGTGGTCGCAAACAGCGACCATGGTGGGCTCCGCATTGTCAAACCACTTGGCTTCTGACTCGAACGGGGCAGTTGGGTCTTCATTCAGGCGGCGCCACCATTTCAACGCTTGGTTGCGTTGCTTAAACGAAGTGCCGAGCCTCTCTTCATAACTCAAAAAATAATTAACATCAAACTTCTCAAAATCCTGGGGCCCGCGCGCCGCCGCCGCTGCGGTGGCGCGGGGCTCCTGCGCCGCAGGCGCGGCTCGGGATCCCGACCCCTCTCCTGAAACTGTGCCCCCAGGTTCTGGTGAGTTTCGGAGGGCAGCCCTCGCGAAATTATCGAATTCGGGCATGCCGAGACCAGGGGCGCGGGGGCTCACAACGCTAAGCGCGGCGAATCGAGACGGCCGTTGAGGCGAGACCGCCGCCGCTGCTGCGGCGGCAGGGCCATCGCGCCATTTGGCGTCCTCCGTTGGCGTGTGCCCGTCTTGTCGCCACTCTCTCCAACCCCACGCTGACCAACCATGGCCGTCCTCCCAACCACGCCAGCCGCTGCTGCGGCTATCCCACCATCCTCCCGCGCCACCCCATGTGTATCCGCCTGCATCGCCCATTGCAAGACGATGGCGCAGGCGCGCGTTAGGCCGCGACGGGCCCGGCTGCACCGTTGCTCGCGGGCGATCCCACGGGCGCGGGATGGTTTGAGCATAGCGGCGACGGACGACGCGATGTGATTGGACGGCAGAGAACTTGAAAGGAAGGGGGGTTGGAAACGGAAGAACGAAGTGGACGAAGAGCGGAAATCGAACCAGAGGGGGGGGAAAAAAGAGCGGAAGAGAATGAGGACATGCAGACGAAGGAGAGTGACGAGGTAGATGGCGGGGCAGAACGGCAACGGAGGATACTGTGGTGGAAATTGTGAAAAGGACGCATGGAAAAACCGGACGAGGATCACAGACGCAAAGATGATGAGCGCAGTGGTAGCATGACATATCCGAAATCAAGAAGCAGGATGAGGAGGAACGGGATGACGAGCAACTCTGTCACAGAGAGCCTCCAAACGCACCCCCTCTGTCACAGAGGGCCTCCAAACGCACCCCCTCTGTCACAGAGGGCCTCCAAACGCACCCCCTCTGTCACAGAGGGGGGAAATGATCACTTTAATGCGGCTCCTGGATTACACACTTACACACACACACACACACACACGCACACACACACAAAAACACACACACCAGAAGGCTCAGAAGGCTTGCCACTTCCACCTTCCACACCTTCCGACCTCCTCGGCGGGGCGAGTTCATCGAAACTCATGGGCGGCTTATACTCCACTCAAGAATGCCCACGTAGACCATGTCGAAAAAGGAACGGACAGAGGTGGCGGCAGGTCCAGAAGGACGAGGGGGGAGGCCGAGGACACAGAAAACATCTCAGAAGGCCGGAGGGTTTCTGAGAGGACCTACTCCTCCTCACTTCCCCGCAGGCGCGCCGCCGATATGGGGTTCGGGCCGATGCCCGCCGAGCACGTGAGGCCCCCAGTGCGCTCCTTGACCCTCCGCCGCAGCTCGTGCACCACCTCCTCTGCCGCGCCGGCGCCCCCACGTCCAGCGAGGTAGTCGGTGAGATCCAGGTACGCCTTTCAGGGCTGGGGGTCAGGAAGCAACTCCTCGGAGATCCTCGTAAGAACGGTTAAGGGGTCTGAAAACATATTGAGGGCCCTTAAGCAAAATCAATCCAAATCAAGCCCCATATCCAACTGGATAAATGAGATGAGACCGAATTATGACGAGATTGTGCCAGCGCGCGCCGGTCTTCGACCACGGATATACCAGCGCCGATGTGAAGGAAATCTGGGTTCACCCCTGGACCTCGTCTAGAGAACCGGCGTGGAAATTCGGATCGTACTCGCGGAACACCTCCCGGGTCTCTCGGGCGGCCCGCGTGTACTTGCCGAAGTCAGGCCGGATGAAGACCAGCTCGTCCGGTGGCATTTTGGACCCGACCAAGTGCGGGCTCCGCACCATCTCCTGCGCGATGAACCCCGGCATTGCGGACCTCACCCCGTACAGGCGCGCGACGTAGTTGGCTGTGGTGACCATGCCAATGCCGCCTACGGCGACGGGTTTCTGCGCCAAGTGCGGCTGGTCACGTAGCTCGACGGCGGCATAGAACACGTCTCGGGCCGGGAGACCCATGGGCCCCGGAGGCCGTGGCCAAATTCGAAGGGATGTTCCGGGTGGCCAGATCTCACATCTAGGCCCGCGCGCGACCCTCCCCATCATTATTCTGGAACTCCGCCGTAGCCTTCCGTCCCTCTTCCGATGTGATATACATGTGGGTTTCCCTGAATTACGTAAGGTGTCCATGAGTTTCGATGATTTCTTCCGCACCTTCCGCGGAGGTTGGAAGGTATGGAAGATGGAAGTGGAGGGAGGGGCGACTCATTCGTTTCGCCATCCGGTTGACTGGCAATCGGACATGTTGGCCAGATGATGCTGAGGGTGCTGCCGCCGTCCCCCAGGCACTCCGCGCATCGTTTTGCGTGCGTCCTCCCCCTGGCCACAGCCTCCGAGGCGCTCAGAAGCTTCCCTGGGCCCGCTTCATATCCATGTCCACCACGCAGTACGTGCGGTCCAGCCTAGAGAAACCAGAAGTACCAACAAGACCAACCTTTGGGTGATGTGGCGGCTGGTGGGGGGCGAAAGCACCAACTGACGACGACAGCGATGGCGGTGATGATAACGATGCTGATGATGCGCCCTCGAGTTGGCGACGACGCGTGGTGATGGTGTTGCGTCGAAATCTCATGATCGATCTCCTTATCGATCTCGCTATCGGCCTCACCCGATCGATCCCGCCATCGCTCTCACTCGATCGATCTCATGTTTGATCTAACTAGAGATCCCACAATCTATCTCATTATCGACCTCACTATCGGTATCACGATTGATCTCACAACGGGACACAACGGGACACCGAAGAGACACCGACAGCACACCTGCAGGACACCGACGGGACACCACGGAACACCATCGGCACACCACAACCAATTGATCTCACTTTCGATGTGCCTATCGATCTCACTCGCTCGACCTCACTACCGATTTCATTCGATCACAATTGATCTCACTATCGCCCTCACTACCGATCCCACTATCAATATCACGATCGGTCTCACTATCGATCTCACCAGGGGACACAAGACACCGACAGGACAGCGACGGGATACCCGCGGGACACCGACGGGACACCATTGGGGCACCAACCGAGCTCACTTTCGATCTCACTATCGATCTCACCATCGGCCTTACGATTGATCTCACTCGCTCGACCTCACTATGGGATCATCTTTGATGATTTGCGATAACGCTCGTTACCGGCGGCGCCCCCCCTCCTCCGGTAAAGTCACGAATCGCGCCGGCGGCGTCTCGGAATGCCTTGAAAAAGTGCCATGCTGCAACGGCTAACATACAGATGGGAAAAGCTGGGGTATACAACGCGCAGCTACTACTACTACTACTACTACTACTACTACTACTACGATTACTACTACTACTACTACTACTACGACTACTACTACTACTACTACTACTACTACTACTACTACTGCTACGCCTACTGGAACTACTAACACCAGTAGTACTACTACTACTACTACTACTACAACTGCTACTGCTACTGCTACTGCTACTGCTACTGCTACAACTACAACTACTACTACTACTATTACTACTACTACTACTACTACTACTACTACTACTACGACTATCACTACTACAACTACTGCTACTATTA